GCCGTTACCAGTGGAGTTCAGCTGAGTCTTTTGTAAGATAATAGCTCAGTGAAGACAATGATGGACGATGGTGAAATGTTGTCGAATCTTCAAAGTTGGACATTCACACCATTGAATGTCGGGCAAAAAAGTGATATGGAAGTTAAGTACTCGCAAGCAAGACCAAACATCCTGGGTTCAAGTCCCATCAGTGGAATCGTCGATGCGCACTTCTGAGGAATCCCATACTAGTAAAGAATAGACCGTCAAATACTTCCACGTTTTCAGTCGTATTCCAGCTTAGATTGACTCGTCAATTCAATTGTCAATTGACAGAATTACCAATCAAAATAATATTCACCACAAAATCCCATCAACTACTTTACAGAATGGAAGAAATCACCTAAAATGCAAAATAAATCATAATAATATACAAGCCGATATAAAATGATAGTTTACAATAAAATTCATTATCATTAGTCCATTCTATTTTATTCTAATCTATGCCAATCTGTTTTTCTTCATCAAATGTCTACACTCTAATTTACTTATTGAATTACTGGAATTCCTAACTTCTTAACCTAATAGAAATATGAAAAGAAAATGGAACAAAACAAATTTACTTTAAGTACGTGCCACTATCATAAAGAAGGTAGTCTATGAGAAACAATAGATAGTTTCATTTTTGTTTGTTGTTGTTGTTGTTGTTTGTTTGTTTGTTTGTTTGTTTGCTTTGTCATAATGAGACAGTATTCTCAAACATCAGGTTCCGAAGGTCAATCTATTGTTCATTCGCCCACGTAACGTAATCATATTTGGTGGTTTATTATTATTATTATTATTTTCAAGATAAATTTCTACAGAAATATTCATCTTAATTCTTTTTATATGACTTTCTAACGTTGATCAGTGTTGATTTCATACATACAATCGTCACTTCCTCTAAATTGGTTTCTTCTCAGTTAACTTGGTGATTTCATGAAAGCAATTGTCAGATTGTTTAGTGATTGATTCTTGGTAAGTGTGATGCTGAGTGGTTGGTCGATGCTGAGACATGCTTCCTATTTGCCAGATAAACTTACTACTTGAGTGAGAATACAAGTGGTGAATAGGGAAGTGTTTAGTGGTACTGTTATCTGACTCCAATTAGAACGTATGCTGATTGTTGTAGAAATATACATGCCTTCAATCCTCGAATATAACTATCAACGCAATTCACGTTAGACAATAACGGAATAAAGCAAGTCAAATACGAGAATGCATTTTGAATTGATATATTTCGAACACTCATTGATGCAGACAAACAATCAGAGAAACGGATTGAAGAGAGCGAAGTGAACAAGGCGAGACGAGACGAGACGAAACGAAACGGAACAAAATGAAGGAAAACGAAGTGAGGCGTAGAGGAGAAGGTGAGTGAGCGAACTCGTTTCGATTAGGCGTGACTCAATATTTATATTCAGACAAGAATAATGCATATCAGACTGACACGTGATGAATAGGGTAAGCAATGAGCATATATACGATCATATAAGAACAGTCCAGTATAATAAGTGAATAATTGATAAGATGAAAATGTGGTTTGAGAAGGGTGAATAAATTGATCTGTTCAGCAGCTAGAATAACCCATGTGTGCTTGGCATAGTACCAACCACTACAAGTCGGAACCGTCAATGTGATGAACGAACGAAATCGACTTCCAACGTCCTTTACCACACAATCTCAGATAGTGTGATAGCCCACCCATCTCGAAGAGTCTGGGTGGTTGACTTCTACGAGTAGAATTGTGTACAAAATTCACCCGACCAAACCCAGTCTTCTCAAGCACTTCAAGCCAATTGCGGCCGAAAATGATTTCCGTTTCAATAATGTATCCATTCGGAATTCTATCAAACTAGACTTATTCGATTGATGAAAGTAAGAGAAACGACTTCTTCTATGAAATATCTGGTTGAAGATTTTAACGCATTGCTCAAAACTACATGTGAATGATCGGACAGCTATGGTCAATAATGGATATCATGCGGTCCACTGATCAATACACACGATCATTACTCCATTCATTCATCCATTCCTTCGCTTATTAAGTCAGGTTAATCAGAAATCGCAACAGACATGGAGAAGTCTCGTTCACTAAAGATTTTCTCATATCGAATATAAAAACCAGTCGGCAATATGGTATACACCTTGTGTTCCAGTGAGTAGAATAGTACTCACTTCTAATCACGGGTTATTTCCATCAACCATCAGATCGATATAATATTGCTTGACATGATGGAACGTACGAGAGCCACCTCACTCACTCTAGAATGATCAGGAGCTAAAGCAAATTCGTCACTTCATTTGTGTCTGGTAGTTGCTACCACTATCATATAACAATATTTCAATCAGAGTTTTCACAATGTCCGGAAATGGAGATTGTGGTTGTGGAAAGAGAACTTATCTAATGCTTGAAAATGTGGAGAAATGTGATCAGCCAAGCCCTTTTAGAGAGTGATGACAATGATGTTAGCTACATATATCAAACTAGAAAATCGAACCTCCAAGTAAAATTTCAGACAGTTGGAGACGTCAGAATGATGACGATGATAATTGTTGCTGGTGGCTGATGAATTTTGAATTGTTTCATTTTTTTCATTCTTCATCTATTCATAATTACAATTGAGTGAGTTGAATCCCGTCTCGATTTAGTCTCCTCTGGAATCTGGTTTGATCTCTCTCAAGGTAGGTTGTTGCTGATAATGTCTGACCAACGGATTCGAAGTATTTTGCCTAGACAACTGTTAATAGACACTTGTATCTTCTGGATGATGGGGTTCGTAGTTCTCCAAGTTTCCACCTTATACTACAGATTGTCTTAATATTTGTATTGAAAATTCTGATTTTGATGTTGGTTGATAGACAGTTGTTTTGAGTTCCAGATATTCTTCACTTGTAGATGTGCTGCTTTTGTTTCGCCGACTCGCGCCTTCACATCTGCATCAGATCCACCGTGCTCATCAATGACGCTGCCCAGCTATGTAAAGGTTTTTACATCCTCCAAAGCTTCTCCGTCAAGTATGATTTGATTGGTGTATGTCCTGTTGTATCCATTTGTGTATGATGAGACCTACTGCTGCTAAAGCTGCAGCTGCGATAGAAGAGCCAGATCACCTGTGAATTCTAGATCGTCCAGCTGCATCCTAGATGTACACTGTATACAGTGCTTCACCCCAGATGTTAACGTCTTCATAATCCAGTCGCTCACAAAGAAAAAGAGAGAGGGTGAGAGTAAGCAACCTAGTGTTACGCTGGCAATTATTTCAAATGAGTTTGTAAGCTGTCCTCAATGTACGATTTAGCGGTTTAATTCATCGTAAGAATTCCGTATGATGTTGACGATCTTCTCAGGCACGTGATTCAGTATGTATATTCAGAAAAGAATAAGTTACAGACAGACGTCTGTGTGGTGATAGTGATGATGATAATCATATTTTGACTCTCAACGACCTCTTCGCACAGTGTTTTCAGACTTTGTCTTGACAATGTCTTACCGATGACATCCAACCAGTCAGCATAGATAATGAAAAATACCATGCGTCCTCATCATCATTATCATCGTCACCATTAAATTGTAATTTGTAATTATTACCTTATGTGTGAATTGAATTACAACGCTTATGAAGGCATATGATTTGGCAATGAACAAGATAAACACGGTCAATTCACTTACGCTATCATTAACATTCCACACTAATTTGTGATTTGATTATGTCAATTTTAAACTAAATTATGGTATTTGTTTAGTTAATAAACTCAAATAAACAAATTTCATCAAAGCAATTTGCATTCATTCATTCATTCATTTATTCATTCAATAATTAGTCTTGGAAATCTAAAAGTCTACTCCAGGTCAACTTACTCTGGCTTCATTTACATTCCTTGTGTATGTTGGAATGTCTCAGTATAATTACACGATGGTCATACACTACTATTGAATATTCAAGAGTAATAATCAGTCTGAAATGTAGTTGAAGATTTCTGGTAAGATTTATAATTGAAGAAATTGAAATTCAAGATTTGATGTAGGGAAGCACATTTGACTGAATTATATAAATGTATCGTTTCAACAATACTGTCCATCATGGATGGATTGATGGTGCCATCACCATTCCTAATGATGAAACGAATGGTTCATTCATCATCAGAATGACTACTCACATGATATGAAAATTCTCACTTTTAACAAAAGCGTATTCTTTCAATGGACCAAGATTGAATTAGTTTAGTGTGAAATGAGTAGTTACACAAACAGTGAAATAGAGTTCCTTTTAACCAACAACTCACACATCTAACACTCATGGCACTGCTAACGAATGCCAATCAGTTTATAGTTGTGAATATGATCAGACCATGTTTTTTTGCACTAATCACCATTTAATATTTCTAATGTACCATAATTATTTTCACCAGTAACTATCTGCAGCACGATTGAGCACAAGGTGAATAATCACAATTTAGTAAACTATGAATGCACACAATCTGTCCGATTATAATAATTAATGCCTAACACATTGCAACAAGTAGTTGCATGTTTCCCTGATGACAACAATCATCTGTATTTCATTTCATACAATAAATCCTTGTGAATTATCAAGCAACGTAATCGAGTGAAGAACTTGAGTAAATAACACTAGAATACCGTTATTCCTGTAATACAATCAGTGGAACAACGTTTCCTGATAACATTGGATCCTATATTATCACCATGCAAATCGCTAAAATACAATGCTTATCCACAATCATGTTCATTTATTATTATGTATATAGCAATGAAGTACAATGAATTCAACGGATTCTCCTAGCAATCTCGTTCGCGATTTCCTCCTATAGAATTATTGTCCTAATTCGACTTTCTATCAAGTCGATAGTTGATTGGTTAACGCGACGAGACATCTGGTTGGATGATCAACTGTATGCTTCACTCTATATAATCTCAGTAGTTTCTTCTTCATTGTGAATAAATTATTAATAGCACTGAAATGAATTCCCGTGAATACAAGAAGGATTGTATAATTGTAAGTCTTCAAATTGTTTTCACTATCTGTTTACCTGTGTTTTCAATTAGTTTGATGACAGTTATGAAGGATATTCAGCGAAGAATTTCACTTTACCAGAAATCTATGAAAAACATATTTCAACCATTTTGATTCCGGGTGGAATGGTTCGAAGTCGTTTGGAAAGAATGTCTATTGATATATTGGATGATTATGAGAAATCTGGTGTACAGTCTGTCTACGTGATTTGTATATTGAAAGGAGGTTTCAAATTTGCTTCTGAAATATGGAAAACGTTGCAAAAGTATTCATTTACGCGTGAAAATTACATAAGGGTTAGTATTGACTTCGTCGCTGCAAGTACATACGTTGTAAGTAGTAATGACATTTTGTGAATTAATGTCTATCAATTTATTCAGGATGATTCAGTAGGTCATGATACCAAAATCACTCCGTGTACAAATATGGAGAAGTTCAGAGATAAGGTAGGTTGAGCAGAAATGGAGAGAATTTATCATGATCATTTGGTTCTTCTGTATAGGACGTACTCATTGTTGAAGATATGGTTGACACGGGCACAAGTTTAAACGAACTGGAGAGATTTGTGAAGAAATACGAACCGAAATCTGTTCGTTCAGCATGGTATGTTGTGTTGATGTTGTTCTCTTATCTGTATTATCACCGAATGCATTCGAAGTGAGTGTTATGTGTATGTTGAGTTGGATGTTAACAGGTTGAACAAGTGAATTCATTGTCTAGTAGATCTTTTATACATTTAATTCAATAGACACTGAATGTGTAGAAATCAATTGTTTATCTTGATAGTAAGTACTACTGATGTGGTGTGACAGATTTGTGAGTTTATTTGTGTGCATTTAGTAAATAATCGATAATGGTTGTCACGTACACTAGAATCGTTCAAATGCATGGTATCTTTGAGACACATTGTAAAGAGAGATAAATGTCGTCGTATTTCACATTGATTCCAACGTCTTATGATTGAACACCAAGTCAATTACATAGGTGTACTGAATACTTTGTATATAAATTCTACTCTGTTTTGCTAGTAAAACTGATGTTCAATAATCTTTATTTTTCAAACGTTCATGGTTTTTCTGAATAACAGTTTATTAGTCAAAAGAATTACGAATCCCATTGAAGAAATACCACCAAATAGTTCATTTTCCTGTTTATCTCTATGGTATGTGTTATCCTTGTTTGTTTTGTTGTTATTAAATAAATATTTAATAGTTTTCATCTACAACTATGTTAGTCGTTATTATTGTTATTAGTTAAACTTACAACAACATCATGTTTAAATGGCTTTTTTATATCTAAATAATAGTTTTTCTAGTAAAAAACAAACAATAACTTTTCCTGGATATAAACCAACCTGTAAGTCTTCAATACTGAAATTGTTCGTAACAGAACTATCATTGTATTTGTGCAAATGTTAATTTGTTTGTATCTCTACTTAGGCGTATTATGGCTGACTAGATTAGTGTTCAAGTGTATGTAAATTGAATCGTTCTAGGTTCGAAGATGTGAGTCACCGAATGAAGATCTGATCTTGTCAGAATCATTTCAATAGTACAACAGAATCTGTTGGAGATAGACGTTGTGAACTAATTCATTGAACAAGTATTCATGGAGTCAGAGTGGGACATCATCCACTGATTTATTGTTAGATGGAACCCGATCATCACTGAACAGCAAAGAACTACTGTGTTTTTGGCCGGTTGTGTAATAATACCTATTGACCGTGTTCCAGTTCCATTTCTAAAGAAAATCTATTCACAGTGTTCCTGACCACTGATAACACATCCGACCAGGAATATAGCAACCGTGTAAGAGGATTCAACAGTCAATTCTTTCCTCACAAGTTATTTTGATCTCTGTTAAAATCAAACCAAGTGTATATTTGAGTCACTCAAAACCACATTAAGTGGTTCATTCAGAGATCAATTGTCACGACGTGCAAAGTAAAACTGTGTAACACGAGTGTAGCCTACTTTTGATCAGACACGCATCATTACTCGTCATTTTAACTTATTCCATCAAACTGATTCGTATCAAATGGCATTTTGTAGATGTTGGTTTCGAAGTACCGAATGTATTCATAGTTGGTTATGGTATCGACTACAACGATCGCTTCCGTGAATTGCCAGTAAGTGAATTGGACGAATGGATAATTTGTTGTTTTCCCATTTGTGTTTGTTATTATATGTGGGATGATCCAGTTGGATGTGTGGAGTAACATATGTTGGAGATTCATGAGTAGGTATGAATGTGAGCGAGTTATTACGTTGGCCAACAAAAAAACGGAACATGTATCACTTGAATGAATGAATGAATGAATGAATGAATGAATGAATGAGATGAGATGAGTCAAATTTGCTTTCACATTGTTCAGAGAAGATATTAATATTGTTCACTTTTTCTCCTTTGATTATTTCCTCTCCTCTCAAGCATGTCTGTGCAGTGAACGATGAAGGTAAACGTGAATTCCTTGGCCAAGGTTAACATCTCTCTCGAGCTTCGTTTAACCGTGTATTAACCGAGAAAATAATCAGATTTGTGTCGAACGTTCCACCTTTCAATGTCATCACGTATACATTTAAAAAAAATGTATATTTTATACAGAAGAGAATTTATTTTGTACTATTTTTGCAAAAATATTTGTTTTGACAGTTATACTTTGGTCTTTTCAATTTTTTTCTGAATGTTGCATTTCTTGATTACGCATGAGCACGTTGCCTGAAATTTTGTATGAGTTATTTAACTTCTCAGATTTCATTATTTAGTCGTGATTTCAGAAGTGAATCTGTTGATACGTTGACATTTTTTTTGGGTCAATATGTATTTTGATTTCCATCAAAACATTTTTGTTTCTTCAAGAGTTCAATATGGATTGTGTTTAGGACTAAACCGGTATCTGAATGCTGACTAGTCACTATTTAACCTGTTTTATATTTGTAAGTTAGGGAATAACAACAAGAATGTGTTTGCTAATGTTTGTCTTGATGTTAATGTTGAAGATGGTTAGGGTGACGATCGGTTATCGAGTCTATAATAGGGAAGAAACTTATAGATACATTTAAAATTATACTATTCAGTGTGGTCAGACATACCCATGTTACTTTAAATTAAACTGGATTCACATGTAAATTACAACTCACTAGGATTATATTTAAATAAGAAAGAAGTGTTTTCCATGCTTTCTATAAATGCATCACTAAGGCTTGTCTCAGACATCGGAATGAAGTTATTTGATGAAGTGAAAATTAGAGCATGAAATGAAATTCATAGCAACAATTATACTCTCACAAACAGTACTCACTAGGAAAATTTCCAAAAAACACCTGATACTACACACTTATTGAACGGATTGGTAGACCAATCCACTGCAAAGTTACGTACACGAATCCTATCCAACTACTACACATCACAGGCCTCACCTAAACAAAACATGTTGTTTAGACAAGTGTAATACACATTAATCGTCTACTTTTGTAAATCTACGATCCCGTATAATTACCACTGAATTGTTGCCGACAAAAGCATGCAACTATACGATTTGCTCAGATGTCTGTTCAGCTGATAAGACGAATTCAACCTAGAGAGTTGACTACAAACTTCAAATATTCATCACTTTACCAGTCATTTTGAATATTCTAAATCAATTTGTTTTTTGACTGACTAAACCAAAGGATATTGTGGTTGAGATATTGACATGATTTAGTTCTACAGTTCATTGTTCATTGTTTGTGACGAGACATCTCAATTCCTCATAGTTAGCCCTCATCAGTTTGATACTACTCGTCGACAACAAAGATGGAACACAATGACAACTGTCTTGACATTAGTCCTCTCTCCAGGTCCTCTCTAGTGAGTTTTATTATTTCCAAGCATCTGTTCGAGTGACTGGTCAAGTCTCCTACAAAGTCCGAAAATTCTCTAGGTCCGTGCCAACCACCGTATTGATTGTCAGAAGGAGCGTCGGTTTCGTGGTTTCCGCAAAGTCACGTCTTTTACCATCAGGTGTCTTCCATGTGGAGATATTTCAGCTCTCAAGAGAGCGTTCTAGTGGATTAATCGGTTTACTCTGACTAACCATTTCAATGATGTTCATTTTCGTGAGATACGGTTGATAATCTTGAACTAAGTTCTTCTTTACCTGGTCTCAGGGCCACTTGCAACTCTAGAAGGGCTCTAGCCTGACTTACATGGTCTAATAGAGAACAGTGGTGATTCGTGCTTTGTTAGTGATTATAAGCGGAGTAACATAAGGACCACTTCTAGCCGCTACACTTTACTTCAGCTCCACTACTTGACAGATACTTTGAAAGGTATAGTCGTCGTCAAAGAACAATAAAACTAGTCTCGTATGGCTGATGAAGACATTCTTGGCATTCTAATTCTGCCCGGTCTTCTTGGATTTTTCCCATGTCTACACTCAGCGAATTTTTAAGTTTCATCGATGCACTGTTTATATAAAACCTCCCAACACAAAGCTTGTGTGGCTTATATAATTCGAAGTGAAAGAATTACCTTAAGGACGTGACATATGCAAAGTAGTCAGATAGCCTAACTTGTGAGATTTCTGTAGTAAGACGTGATTAAAAAATTTGAAAGAGAAGGGAATGCTCCCAAAATTTAGTCCTATAGAAACTACTGACAAACATGAGACAGTCAAAAGGGCAGCTGGCAGGTTTAAATAACGACGTAATCTCTGTGACCAGTCGCAGCCAAAATGAAAGTCATCAGAGTTTAAATGACATTCATTTCGCGTACTAAATAGGAAAAATTAATCATAAACTTTGGAAATGTTCGTTTACAGTAATCAACTTCGAAGCCGTGCTCATACTTACTAACGTTACGCAGCAACATTATGCGCTCAAAATGGTTGGGAATGAAAATATTTCAGTACAGAAGAGCAGTGTAATAAAGTTGGGATACCTATCCGTGAAGTAAATCCACCTTTTGGTGTTCAATTTAAGTAAAATACTTAACTTTTTTCGTTTCGAGATGGTGGAGAAGATTTTTAGCTCAGGTGGGTGATTTTGATGGAGATTTCATGCCAGTTTTAAGGTCAATAAAAGCGAATGAGCATAGAGGTCTTCAGGACGAGCTGTGAACCACATGTGAAGAGATTCGGACACATCCCTTCTCCCTGACATGTGTACTGATTTTTTCGTTTCGTTCAGTAGTTGAGTACTGCATATAAGAGTATAATAGTCATTTAAGAACTTATCGCTATTTTTAACTTTCAATTCGTCTACTTTTCTCCTCCACCAATGTAGGATGAGATACACTGTTGCCTTGAAGGGAGATAAATGTTTAATGATTTAAATGACTGCCTTAAAGTCTTTGGTAAGAATACATTCTTATATTCACGAACGAGACAATAAACGATCAAAAAGGTGCCCGAAATTACTAGATTTCGCACTTTTGTTGTACATTGGGGAGACTGCTTGGCACCACACATTTGATATAGCATAAAAATAATCAAATGAGGAAGCAAATGTCAGAAGAGTGACCAGGTTTAGCTTAATGATTTACGCAGAATACCTTTGACGAACTGAGTTCGTTAGAACTAAAAAAATGTAGTGGCATAATTTCAAGAAGAATGATTTTGACCGAATAATGAATGAGTGCTGTTGTGAGAATTCTTATGCGTTCATTATTGCCGTACTGGGTCATATTCGACAGTTAGACATAGCCCATTCTCTCGTAGAAGATATATTCACAATACCTTCAATGTGTGAAAAAGCTTGTCCGGTCGCGTAACTTATGAAGAACTTTACAAAATTCCAGATCGTTAACCATTGGACCATGTCACTGACTAAAAGTAAAAAGAAAGACTGTAGGACAGATTGGATGAGGGTGCAGTAATTAGAAGCTCACTCTCTGGAAAAGTTGACATCAACACCATTGAAGTGAGTGACAATGAATGGCACTGCCTTTACACGTAACACCCTTATAGCCGCAGCATACCAACCCAGTCAAATCGGAAGTCAGGAATGAAGATGTTCAAAGACACATCTGGAATCCTAGCGATACATCGGGAAGCGTTTAGTCATAGTTGGCTAGAGTTGCAAGGGATGTATAGCACAGCGTACCCGCTCGTGATCTCGTGCGGATGCGTGACCGAACGCATTCAGCTAGGTGTTGCCAGTAAAACTAATGAGGTCAGCATCAATGTTGGAGACTCACAGAAATATTTATTTTGGGAATTTACTTACCACTACGTCACTAGAACACATTAGGAAGTTTTTCAGTTCATAACAAACGGACAAAATCAATGAGTTCTGACAGAACAATGAGATCACAATAAGACTACATAGTTTAATTTCTCAAGGCCTTTGAATTTCAAATCAACGTTATTTTAGTTTAATTTATTAGCATAACAGGAACCGGAGTGACTATAATAATCTTGATATGCAAGCACAAACAAACATTCAACTTGGGGACAACAGTAGCTAAAACATCAATGGTATCACCACCAGAAAGGTGTCTACCATAATTTTATTATAATTCATCTGCTTCGGTGCACAAAGGTACATCATCCTAACCTCGACCAAACAACACAGTATTTAGAGTCGCTGGAAGCACAAGTAATTTAAACGAAAATACCTGTAATCCACCGAACAATTGTCAGCGGTACTAACAAACCAGTTTGATTTATAGCACCTTTCATTCTGTCACGTTAAAAACATCCTTCAACGACCTACATTCATGAGAATAATCAACAATAAATATGATTTCACTATGTTAGAAGTGCAATGTTCCATCTTCCCATATGATTTTGATAGAAAGCAGATGAAGAAGGGTGAAAAGCACCGGTAAGTTATGATTAAATAAGTAATACATGTTTGTAAAATCCCAATGAGTAGAAAAATTATATTTTCTGACGTTTCGTTACTTAGTTTAAGCCACATCTTAAGAGACCAAACAACTGTAGTGACTTATTTTTATCACGAGAACACGATTGGTTCAGTGAAAACAATTATTATTATAACCAGTTGCACCAGTGACTGTTTAATGTGCTCTTTGTTTGACTGTGCTAAGAACATCCATTATACTTACTTCGATTGTGACCTCGCGCGAATCCAGTCACGCTCAGTAGCCAAGCTTTTATCCTGGCACGATCTCGGTATTCTTTCGATATCACGAGATCGCCTGCAAATATATCTCGGCTTGGTCCATTAACTGCCTTCTGATATTTGGCTTCCCGGGGATTTTATGGATATCCTGGTACGGGTTCCTTTGTAGTGGTGTTCATAGTCAATTTCGACTCGACGCCACCCAACACAACCGAAGTAAAGTTAATCCAAGTTTAATTAGTACGACGGAGCAACATGTTGGGATATTACAAATATATTATTTATTTATAACAATCTACCCAATGCTCAATTTATTCGAAATTACCAGATCAAACCTTTGTAATGATACCTACGGTAAACTATGATTTTGATATTCGGAAAAGTATACAAGTTAAAACAAGAGATATGTGCACATAAAATTTGATTTTTTTAATAAAAGCACACAATCTACGGGAGTTTTAATCAAAAGACGAATAAAACATCAAGTCTATATTTAAAACGACTGTTGTGGTTAGTGACGAGTAGAGAAATTGAAGCACTATGATACAAATAATTTATTCCAAAACATGTTCTGACGTAAAAAAACGTAAATTTATCCAGCAAACCAGACGAAATACTCTAGAACAACTTTATATTGACAGCTTTCACTAAACAAGTAACAGATATCCATATACTTGTTAATGATAAATTTAAAATAAGCGTATTTAAGTGCCTAAGCGTAATAAATCCATGAAAAGTCAAACATTAACCTGGAGCAAACTTCAATAACTGTGTATTTACATCGTTATGATGCTTAGTTAGCTTAGATGAAGAAAATTAATTAAAACTGACATTCCTGCAGACAAGAGAACTACTAAGACCAATTCACACTCAACAGACCAGAGGTGAGCGACAAGCGTATACGTTACAAACGTTGATGTTGGGCAATTAAAATCCTCCACGGAGCTGGCTGGTGAAGATTTCAAAAGCACAACGACATGTGACACGTTTTAATTAGCTTTACTCTGATCTCTACAATTCTATATACTTACTGAACTCACTCTGTGGTAATAAGCTTTCAGGAAAACGTGAAAGCTACATACCGTGGTGTTCTTAGTTCTTTCCACTCCATTGGGTCAATCGTACCTACTCACTTACGCCTGCTACCCATTGCGGAGTTTCATAAGCCCTCCACCAGCATTCTCCATCCTAACCTGTCACGAGCAGTCCCTCCCAGTTGTTTCCAGTCGCTATTCATCCTTTTCATGTCTGCTTCTAGTTTTCGACCCAGTGTGTTCTTTGACCTCCCACTTCTCCGTTTCCCTTCAGGATTCTAAGTTAGCACACGACAGGCGATGCAGTTTAGTGATTTTCTCAATGTATGTCCTACCCACTTCAAGGGTCTTTTCTACTTCAGCTGAAAGCTGGTTTGTTTGCTCCCACAGTGAGCTATTGCTGAAGATGTCCGGTCAAGGAACATTGAGTATCTTGCATTGGCAATTTTTTGTAACTATTCATACCTTTGTGATAATGGTTGTAGTAGTGCTCCAACTGCAGCTACATCATGTTCTACTGGCTAAACTAAACCTATTACAGTCGTCATATCGAAGAACTAGAGAAGATTTTATCACGGTTTTCCAATTGTGTAGTGATAAATTTACACCTGATATGCCTTCTTTTTTCTCATCTTTCAAAACACAGCATTCACGGGGAAACTCCAAAAATAGTTCACAAGACCAGAACAACTTACTTATCAGCTGACAAACGACGTTCCCATCGAATCATCAGCGAGTGGAATTCATTATCTGTCGACTCTTTCAAATGAAAGTTGGATCAATTGAGGGACCATCATTGCCGAGAATAACACAGGTCATCTTGCCTTCTGCTCTATCCAAACTGAAACTGAATGTCCCCATTCAATTAATACTGTCACTACTAAATGGTTTTTTTGTTTTTAGGTTCAAAAAAGAATTGACTGACACGTGTGTTCATACTGTGAGCATAATTTATTTTACACCATAATCTGACTAAAATGGTTGATAGTGCTCACAAATGTGGACGACGAAACTGTATGTTCCCTGTGGAGGAAGGAATGTAGTGTGATGAATGTAAAAAGTGGTTCCATAAGATGTGCACCCGTTTAACTCCCACAGCATACAAAAGATGTTCGAAGCCCAACTTAAATTGGCTTTGAATGTTTTGTTGTGCAAATAAGACGTTTCTAATCCAGGAGACTATGAGCCTATTGGCTTTGGCCTGTAAAAAGAACTATGGCGCATGCGCTGATAACACGAGCACTGACAGTGACGAATGTGTCGGTGTGGTACCTGCTGTTACGAGAAAACTCAAACACCCGACTTTGACTGACGGAAAAGTGAAATCTCAGTTAGCATTAACGACGGGGGAGAAGTACCACCTGACACTGATGGTGGTAACCATGCACCTCCAGCGGAAACTGAAGGTCTAGATAAAACCCTCACAGCTCCAAATAGTCCCAGTGTCCTGAAGGATGAAAAATGGACCACAGTACATAGAAAATAAAACGAAAAGAAAACATCTGTAGGCAGTACTCAAGTAGTTAGCGAGTCATTGGTGGACTCCCACTGTGAGTCACAAAATGCACTACCAAAATCTGATAGTAAGAGAGAAACCCACCCTAGCCTGGCTGAGAAGAAGAATCTGATGTCGTCGAATATTATTGTGAGCAAAGTGCTGGAGTCAAACTACCCTGATCCCCAAATTAGACACGCGCATGATTTAGAGAAGCTGGGAGAATATATTCGTAGTATCTTACCAGATAACTCTAGAGGAGTTATCAGTTGAATAAGTATGGTCTGTATTTAAAGGTAAGCTTTGTCTAGTTACGTCCCCGCTCATACCATACCTGGTACTGCGAAGACCGAACAACAGTCCACCATGGATAACTAAAACAGTCAGGAAACGTCTTAAAAAAAGCAAGAAGCACTGGAATATGTTCATCTCTACTGGCCTAGAACAGTACAGATCCAGTTATTGTAAGATTAGGAATGCCTTTAAAGAGTTGATAAGTAAGACTAGACGATCATATGAAAAACAATTGGTCAGGGATTGCAAATATAGTCTGGAACGGTTATTCTCGTATATAAAATGCGAACTCAGAGAAGCGATGGAATTCTATCGCTTTTGATACGAGATAATCCGTTAATCTTAGCAGAGAATGATGTAGAAAAAGCTTAACGTTTATCGGAATATTTCAGTAAGGTGTTTTCTATCGGTAATGAGGAACGACCAACGACTCATCGCGACCGTGACGGCTCGCCGATGGATCCTGTAGTCATTGAGAAAGGTACTGTTTTAAGGCTACTTCAGCATCTCAAACTTCAAAAATCCAGTAGTCCTGATGATATTCACCCTAGGATTATGAAAGCCCTATCAGATGTAATTGCTCAACCATTAGCGATACTGTTTGACGTGTCTCTAAAGCAGTCCAGACCGCCCAGAGACTGAAAATACGCGATAATAAGTCCGGTGTGTAAGGCTAGGAGTAGGAATTTAGTTAGTAACTATAGATCCGTTAGCTTAACTAGTGTAGTTGTAACACTGATGGCGAAAATCACTTGGATATCTGTTATAAATTATGTTGAATGGCATAATCTTTTCTCCAGGGCACAACATGGTTTTCGGAAAGGCCTATCTTGCTTGACAAATCTTCTCATTGCACGAGAAAATTGGGATCGGAATGCTCCTGTGGATGTGATTTTCATAGATCTAAGTAAAGCCTTTGATAAGGTTTCCCACTCTGGTCTTAAATTCAAACTAGAACGTTTTGGAATCCATTGTACAGTCGTGGATTGGATAAGTAACTTTCTCCATGACAGGAGACAAAGGGTAAGGGTTAATGGGCTCTCTCTTCGTGTGTACCTGTAAAAAGTGGAGTTCCCCAAGGTACAATCCTAGGTCCTCTTCTCTTTTTACTTTATGTAAATGAATTGCCAACTGTAGCAAAATCATCCGTCCTACTCTTCGCTGATGACATAAAGATTTGGAGACCCATACATAGTATGTTGGATAGAATAGCATTACAGGACGATCTTAGCTCATTGGTGGCATGGTTAGACAGGTGGTCACTAGAAGTAAATCCTAATAACAGTGTAGTGATGCAGTTAAATAACTCAGATGAATCGTATCACTATACACTACGTGGATTCGTGCTACCCAAAGCAAGAAACTACAAAGATTTAGGAGTCATATTAAGCAATGATCTCAAAACCACTAGTCACTGTAAGGCTGCTGCTGCAAAACGCTATAGGGTATTATGGTCAATTCATAGGTCTTTCCAGTATTTAGATGATGAAATGTTTAGATTACTATACCCGATTTATGTGCGACCACATTTACAATACGGGATTCAAGCAGCGTGTCCTTGTTTCAAGTACGAAGCAGATATGCTGGAAAGAGTCCAAAGACGAGGTACTAAGATGGCACAAGGTCTATCAGGCCTATATTATGAAGACAGACTGAGACACCTTAACTTATTTCCGTTATCTTACCGTAGAATACAGGGTGATCTAATATTTGCTTATCATATACTGAACGATGACTTTGGTATTAACATGCCTTACATTTTACTTCCTTCTAGGACTAATCGTTTGAGAGGACATTCGAAGACAGTTCAAAAACCGAGATCAAATCGTTTACGTCTGAAGTTTCGTTTCTCGCACCAAGTAATGAATTACTGGAATTCTCTACCGGGACACGTAATATCAGCACCTTCTGTAGATATATTCAAAAACGATATTGGACCTCCACAGTATTGCAAACTGAAAGGATTAATATAGATCGATAGACCTCCTATCCTTATTACTGAAGACTGAAGACTAAAGACTGAAGTTGTTTGCCCTTCGACTTTCGATTCTTATACTTGCAGATACTGAACATAGAATGTTATTTAAGGCACCTCTTTCGTTTGTGTGGTTGTGGTGATGATTCGTTCGACGGCTGTCAACTTTATAAAAAGTATAACTGTTTAGCGAATTATGTTTTTTTTAAAGGTTGCCATAAAACTGTCCCATATATTTATTTTAAGCCATGTGCAAACCATTCTACTAATCCAGAATATGTAAATGCAACCGAGCCTTACGAAGTATTCAGATCCCGTTTCGTGAATGCATTTGATGATCCAAAAATTGACGGTTGGGGGGCTAGATCATGGATGCAGAAACTTCATCTAGAAGACGCCGTTCCGCCCCCAGAAGTGGTGATTAGTGGCCTTAAGGCTTGTAGACGCATCAACGACATCGCTCTGGCTATAAGGTTTATTGAATCTGTGAAGGTAGGTTGTTCTATCGCATTTCGATTGTTCCTTAGTTTAAGTGCCACGTTGCCAAAGGTGCTTGGGAGTGGCTTCAAAAAGAGATTGAACCCACAATGAAACAACTCGGTTTGCCAACTTTAGGACAACTTGGATATGACGAACCTGAGTTGGCTCTAATTGACTATGACGATTAATAGCATTGTATAATCCAGAGAAAAATACATAGAGTTGTTCTGTTGGGACTATTATTCCTTTATCACACATGATAGCTGATGTGGTTCTGATCTGTTATTAAATTCAATATGACCATTTCTAATATTTCAGTCAATGGGTAGTAAATAGTGAGTTTTAGCTCCTACCGACCAAATACACTCCTGCTCGCAAGTACTTGTTTTGTCAGCCGAAAATTTTATTTTTAATCATCTCACGTACCCCTCTCATAAGCTCTTGTGATCTGAAAGAGTAATACGGCAGTAGATCAAATTACAGCGTTGATGAAAGTATATCTTCAATAAGAAAATTGTCATGGTTTTTTGATTACTAGTTACTCGAGTAAGTACGTCCTATTAATCCGAAGTGACTTCTTATTAGAAGTTTTATAAGCAGTAACAGCTGGTCGCCAGTATTTCTAACATGTTAGGAGCTACCTCAGTTCTCCACTTTTTTCTGTTAAAAATAGATATGTGAAGAATCAATAGAACATTGTCTGTTACATAAGATCACATTTTAATGGGATGTGTAGACACCGTCCTACAACTTCAATTAACAAAGTATGCATTTTAAATAATTCATGGGAAAAGACAAGTTTTTACACATTGTGTTCACTCCTGTGATAAATTTGTATTTGGTCTCTCATGTATAGTCGTGAAAATACTGCAATCGATCTTTAGAAATCAGAAAACCTTACTTGCCAGTCAGAGTCATAACTCCGAGATGTACGTCTAGATGAAATTACTAATGCATGATTCATCAGTCATCATATGCTTACCTTGATTCTCTTGGATGCTTATCTGTCTTGCAGAAGATGCTCGTAAAAAGTTGTCACCTTTTCTTAAATCACGACTCTGAGAAACGCAACGAATTGTGCGACTGGTTGTCTCCTATCAAGTATTACGCTCTCGTTGTAGCAAAACGAGAAAGTACAATAAATTCGTGACATACACATTTTCGAATAATGACTGCCTCAGTCACGGTGGTGGTTTGCTTTGAAGAAGTACTCATCTACTAACGTTTAAGTAGGAAGGTTTAGTGACTGGATGGGTAACTTCCAAAAACACTGGCATTTTAAGTTTTCTGCAGAACTTGCTTCAAAACCCAACTTCTATATATACAGTGCGGATATACTGTACTAAAGACCATTTGTAAAGGGGATACTATTAATCCAAGGCTAAAAGGTGGGTGGTTTGCTCGTGTTTACCGTGCCATATGTTTTCCAACGTTAACTACACATTCATCTAATGGTCCCATTGCAATTCGTCTTATCAATGTTATTTCTGGTTATTGCATTTGGCATCTCATTCCGGTCGATCTTTTAAGCCAACTGAGCTTTTCGTATCCGTGCAAAAATTTGTCAGCCAATGAGGACTCGTAGTTCCTCTTTAGTTGATGTTAAGTGCAGTGATCAACATAGTCGACTAACTCTTTGTTATGCCGAAGATTAACACAAGCCAGTAGAAACGCACTATAATTAAAAGGCAAGAAACTAGTCTTCTCAGCATACAATACCAGGTATCTTTTGTCGTCGTCCAAGCACAAGTCGTTTACATTTTAATATGTATTTACTTGCTGAATTGGTTTCCAAAAGAATACTGTTTTAATTCGTTAAAAAGTAATCGGTCAAGTACTCGATTTCGCGTTTCTAATTAAACACATTGTTATTGTTGCTGGAGCAGCTCGTGAAAATGTGAAACCTAATGCTCTTCCTGTGATGATATTCTGATTCTGTCAGCTGCACAATCTCTTATGTAGATGCTCACTAGCGTAACGAAGTTTTTGGTTCACCAACTCGGTATACTTTAACGTTCATAGATAGTTTAAAACTATGTCTTGCAGGCCATCAAACCATTTGTTTCTCTTGTGTGCGTAAAAGATTTTTGCAAACGGGTTGTATAGTTCTTCGTAGCGCTCTCCCAGTGGCAAACTCAAATCGATTCGCTATTGATGAAGATGGTTTTCCACTCCTTATGTTTATCGGATTATTTGACACTAATTGATTCCAATGCCAAATAAAAATATAATCCATAATCCTTTAGTGTGTTGTCCGATTACTCACCCTTATGTATGTCAGTCAGTCAGCTACAACGTAGGACCAGGTACATACATGCATCGGTCCAAGTTGCCACACATTAGCACAACAAGATGGACACCGAATTTATAGAAGTGGTTAATCTAATGGTGGTAATATATAAAAGAAAGATTGCGTATATGGATTGAGTACAGGAAGAAAGAATTAGTTGGTAGAAAGAAAGATATGAAGCGATTTTAATCTCATAGTTTAAAGGAAGACAGAGAGTGTATACACCGACGCCATTGTGATCGATTCTGAGTCATGTCACCAAGAGTCTCCAACAATTGGTTACGATAATCACGTGCACCCCAGTCAAGCAGTCTGCATCTACCAACATGGCTAAGACTAGAAGTTAGTGACTCCAAGCACTGATGCCACGTTTTGGTTCGGCCGCCACTAACTTTCTGCCAACCATCCCCAACACTAGTCAGGATTCGCGTCGTGGTAATCGGTGTTCATGCATACGTAACACGTGACCCAACCATCTCAGTCGATGAAGATTCACAACCTGATCAACTGATTTACCATCATTCCCTAATACCCTCCGTCTAACCTCATTATTACTTACCTGGTGATGCCAGCAGATGCGAGCAATATTTGTGAGGCATCTGTGGTCAAATACTAGTAGCTTACGAGTATCTTCTACTCTTCATTAATGACCACGTTTCGCAGTCGTAAAGTAGAACAGAACGAGCTGTTGCTCAGCATACTCGTCTGTTAATTGATAGACGGATATCTCTCCTTCGTCGTAGGTGACGTAAGTTGGCAAAAGCTAAGCGAGCTTTCTGAATGCGTGCTGAGATTTCGTGAGACAGCGACCGATTAGGGCTGATGAGAATTCGAAGATAAGTGAAGTTGTGGACGCGTTCGACTACTTCGCTCCTTATTGTTAGTTCTTTTATTGGCGCAGACCAGTTGTGGAGCAACAACTTGCATTTAGAGGGAGAGAAGCGTATTCCAAACATTCTGGCATTGTTGCTCAATGCTACCAGAAGACTGCATTTTATGAGTGTCTTCACCAAACAGGACCATGTGATCTGCGTATTCTAAGTCGATAAGTGGACCTTCTGGAAGGAGATGAATGCCCGAGAATTCAGTCGAGAAATATTTTATTTCCATCAGTATGTCTATGATGAAGTTAAAAAATGGAGATGGACAGCCTGTTGGCCGATTTCAAACAGGGTGCGTACGTTGAAGGCTCTAATGTGTAGCTTGTAGCGAGGTTTCAGTAGACCTGGGAGTGTTTCGCGCACTAGAATCATTGGCTATGGTGACACTTGAGGATGAAGTTTGGTGTAGAAATTCGATGTAGGAAAAATAAAAGGGATTGAAGAGGGAGGTTGATTATGAATACAGTGATCTTGAGCGCTGTTAGGGGTATGAAGGCAGTTATCACTTCCCGACCACCCACACCGTGGAATGGTTCTCCTGGAGGTACTTGAAAAGGAAATTGGGTTAGACGTGATCTTAATGATTTGAGAGCCTGACCGCAATACCCAAGGGACAACTACTTGAGGTCGGTCACACTCAACCTTTTCGTGAGTAATTGTTGGGACCTTACCACCGGAGACGGATATCCGTGGGATAAGGTGGTGTGTATTTTTAGGGTCGACCTTTTCTAACCCCTTTTTGTAGGAAGGCAGCATCGCTGTTATGCTGGTTGTCTGAAGGAAACACATTACTGCCGTCACACCTCTGTGAATTCAACAGTATGACTTGTCCCTCGGACCTTGGGTTTGCTGCTTTTAGTCTTACCGCTCTTCAGCCGATCTGCCTGACTGTCGTGGTAGGGACTGTCATTGAGGAACTATTGTTCCAGCCAGTATAGCTCGGTTGCGTCATCACGATAGGCGAACCCGACCACCACGTCAAGGTAGCAGCAACGATCGGGCTCTATGTATGTGTTCACACAAGGATGTGAATTGATGAGTACAGTGGGATGTGAGACAGACTAAAAGCATCTATTAACATCAGTATGAAAGTCGTTTCATACCAAAACCAAAAACCCTTTATGACTTCTTTGCGAAGAAAAGAGCCTATATTTATTTACCATTTAGAGGAGAGTTAAACAGCATAATTTTCTAACACTGAAAGCAGCGATGGAGAACATAAATTGCGCTGCTAAACTGGCTGTTTTTGAAAAAAAAAGACTCCATGATTTCACACAAGCATAGGCACCGTACAGACGGCTATGCCATACCTGGTTTTTAGGCAACAATCAATTTAGCAGCGTTATATGTCTTTTCTGTGGCTGTGTGCAAAAGCGATTCGACACCTTTAATCACGCCTGGTAATTTTTTAAGGCATCTTACGGTATATGAGGGTGTGACAAATTACTATTCTTTACATATATTAGTTTTTTCTCTTCTTTATTTATAATTATCACTATTTGAACTTTTATTTAATTGACTTTCATTAGTTTTAACATATAAACTCCTCATTAAGTATACGTATTACCAGATTGTTCTGAATATATAGTGCAAATACATCACATTCTCCAGATCATCTCCACCTTCCTACTGTCCTGTCAAAAGAAATTTGAATGGAAACCACAATGCCTTAAAATAGGACTAGAAATAAAGGGATGCAGTATTACTTGAGACTTATTATTCCACATTCTGTTCCCATCTGAAATCAGGAATTCCGAAAATAACCTTTTAAACACGAGAACTACCTCATAATATTACTACGTTTTCTTATTTATTATTATAAAATTTTACCCTATATGCTTCGAAACCTGACTTTCGACCAGTGAATCATGGGTCAACCTGCCGAGGTCTAGACTATCAACCGGGAGACATTTAGTGTGATTTGTAATCTAAAACATGAATCTGTGCGTGGTGTCTGAGCTCTTGGTTATTCTTATCATATTTTAAAATTAGAGGAAGCTAAAGATATTTGATAGGTCGATGTATTCCAAACAAGTCATATACTGTTTTACGACTTGGATTAGAAATACAAGCTTAGGCACACTGTTATAAGTTAATTATTCGCGTAGTCAGGTTCTTTTCTGATATCTCTGTCGGTCTGTATGATCTACATTAAGATCGGTTCGACCTTTGAGATAAAGCTCCTTACATACTTTCGGGCTTACTCTTAAGCAGCTATTTGTGATAGGCATTATAAAACACATATTGCAACTGAACGTGACTGGTAATTCATGTCTGTCTCAGTTTTACATTCTAGCGACATGCTTTACGAATGTGTTACTATTGCTTCTTTGGTCTTTCATACTCTTAGTTCATTCTAGGAAGCACGAAAATCATATAGCCATGGATTATTGCGTAACCTGGAAACATGGCTGTTAGCGACTACTCAAGATTTGCATGAACTGTGTGAATACTATGCTTAGTCTAAAGG